TTATTTGGGTCTTTCACAGAGGTAATCAAGTTACAAAGAGGTCATGATGTTAAGGAAGCAGGAGCCCAGGAGAGCCACAGTGATATCATTTTAAAATCAACTCCATCTTAAACCTAGCAAGGCACATTCCTTGCCAGTCACAACCCATGATGCTAAGATGTTTACAGCTGAGGAAGCAGCTTGGTAATGCCTGCAAGGACAAACTCCTACAACAACAGAAAGTCCAGATGTCCCAACACCCAAAACAACATACCCTTTCAAGATAATAATAGTTACGTTTTGATGTACTCACACACACAAAAATGTCAAGGATCGTTTCTTGAAATCAATAGGATGATACATTTTGTCATGCTATCTGCTCACCCTCACATAGTCATGGTTTAGTTTAGTCTTTATGTAGACAAGACCTCTATATAAGAAAGATAACTTAAAGACAGTGCATTCCTCTGCTTGCTTTGTGAGGACACCATAGTCTGTAACACAGTCACTTCTAATAAGCTTGCTTCTTTTTTTTTTTTTTTTTTTTTGTTTTGTTTTGTTTTTTGAGACGGAGTCTCGCTCTGTCGCCCAGGCTGGAGTGCAGTGGCGCGATCTCGGCTCACTGCAAGCTCCGCCTCCTGGGTTTACGCCATTCTCCTGCCTCAGCCTCCTGAGTAGCTGGGACTACAGGCGCCCGCCACCGCGCAATAAGCTTGCTTCTTTTACTGTGCTCTGTGACTCACCTTGAATTCCTTCCTGCCCGAGATCCAAGAACCCTCTCTTGGGGTCTGGATGAAGACCACTTTTTCTGGTAACAATTAGAGTGGGTCCCTATCCAACATGACTGTTGTCTTTAAAAAAGGGAAAATTTGGACCCAAGGACAGACGGACACATGCATAGGTGGAAGATGATGTGAAGAGACACAGGGAGAAGACAGCCATCTACAAGCCAAGGATGCCTGAGGCTACTAGATGCTACAAGAGAGACCTGAACAGATCCTCACCAAGTACCTGCAGAAGGAGCACAGCCCTGCCGACACCTAGATTTCAAAGGTCCGGCCTCTAGAACTGTGAGACAATAAGTTTCTGTTGTTTGAGCCATCCAGTTTGTGATACTTTGTTATGGCATTCCCAGGAAACTAATATAGCTTGGATCTATATACATATCTGTTCCAGTTATTTATTGCTGTATAACAAATTACACCCGAAATGTAGCAGCTTAAAACAATAAACATTTATTATCTCACACAGTATCTGAGCTCAGTATCTGTGAGCCAGGAATTCAGGAGCAGCTTCAGTGGATATTTCTGCCTCTCATGAAAGTCTCAGGAGGAGTAAAGTCAAGATGTTGCTGAAACATCCAGATAAACCTGGCTGGGGCCAGAGGATCCAGGTCTAAGTTGACTCACTCCTGTGGCTGGTGCTGGATGACAGTGAGAAGCTCCAGTTCCTCTCCACAGGAGCCTCTCCAGAGGGCTGCTTGAGTATGCTCGTGACATGGCAGCTGCATTCCCCTAGAATGAGTGACCCAGGCAGAAGCTGGAATACCTTTCATAACCTAGGCTCAGAAGTCACACATCACCACGTCTACAATGTCCTGTCATCACACAGGTTAGTCCAATCACTACGGGAGGGGCATGAACATCAGGAGGTCAGATAATTGGAAGCCATTCAATGATTCTATGTCATTGAAGTGAATAAAATATCATTTTAATGTTCTTGTTCATAATTTACCTCTCTAGACATGGAAACTGGATATTCTTTTTTTTTTTTTTTTTTTTTTTTTTTTTTTTTTTTGAGACAGCGTCTCATTCTGTCACTCAGGCTAGAGTGTAATGGTACAATCATAGCTCATTGCAGCCTTGACCTCCTAGGCTGAAGCCGTCCTCTGCCCCGGCCTCCAGAGTGGCTGGGAGAGTGCGGGAGGATGGAGGATAGCAAGAGGATAGAAATGTAAATTTGGTCCCTAAATCCCAAATACCAAATGGTGGGGCATCAAGGGCTGGGCAGCAGGATATGGCTAGAAAAGTGAACAAAGCAAGTCAAAGTAAATAAAAAGCAATCCTGTTGCACCCACTGAAAGTGCAGAACTCACCTCTATGAAAGGCAATTCAAGCAGGAAAATCAATACAAGGATTTATAGAAATTTAAAGATGATTAGCAAAACCAAAAATTAATAAAGGAAACATGAAATTTGATGAGCGTGTCAGTTAAGATTTTCTCGGTTCCAGGTCAGGCGCAGTGGCTCACGACTGTAATCCCAGCACTTTGGGAGGCTGAGGCGGGCGGATCACAAGGTCAGGAGATCGAGACCATCCTGGCTAACACAGTGAAACCCCATCTCTACTAAAAATACAAAAAAAGAGCCGGGCATGGTGGCGGGTGCCTGTACTCCCTGGAGGACATTATGTCAGGTGAAATAAGCCAGGCACAGAAAGACAAATACTGCATAATCTCACTTACATGTGGAATCTAAAACAGTAAAATGTATAGAAGCAGACAGTAGTTGCCAGGGTGGTCGCTGGGGTGAGGAGGAAATAAGAAGATGTTGGTCAAAGTATCCAAAGTTTCAGTTACACAGAATGAATAAGTTCTGGAGACCTAATACACAGCATGGTGACTATAGTTAGTAATATTGTATTAGATTCTTGAAATTTGCTAAGAGGAAATCATAAGGTCTTAAGTGTTCTAACCATAAGAAAAAAAAAAAAGAAAATGTTAACTATGTGAGGTGCTGGTATGTTAATTAGTTGATCATGATGATTATTTCAGTGTATATGTATATCAAAACATCAAGTTGTATACCTTAAATATACACAATTTTTATTTGTCAGTTTTATAACAATAAAGATGAAAAAATAAATTATTAGCATATCTCCCCAATTTAGTATTTGTGTTTATGTACAAATTATATATCAGCACTAGTTTTCCAATATTATAAAACATACATAAATTTTTGAGGGATGAGGTTTTAAAGAATTATTATATAATAACATCTTAGTAGGAGAAAAGTGATAGAATAAGCTTCATTATTTTTGAAAGGTTTAGATATTGACCTGGGAATTCTACAATCGTTAGGCAAATACTAGCAAATTAATAAGGTTTTCTAGTGTTAATGTTATTTTTGCTTACAAATGTGATTTCTAATTTGTTTAAAAGTTTTGAAAAGCATATTTGTAAATAATCAAAGGAAATGTTCAGTATTCATTTGGCAGAATTGTAATGTTTAATTAAAATTTGTGTCATGAAATGTATCATATAGAAGAGTACACAAAGATAATCAGTTTAAAAGAAGAAAAGAAAGATTGCTTTCATTTGGTTCAAGCAAAAAATAATTGTAAAAAGGTAAAGGGTGTTTAATGGATAGTGAATAACTGTAGGGCCAGGAATAATCTGTACCCTGCTGGCAAGTCACCTGGATAAATGTGCATTGCATCTAATGTATGTCAAGCCCTGGGTGCAGAAAAGATACAAAGATGAATAAGAGCTGATGCCTGCCTGCAAGGAGCTTGGTGTCAAGTAGGGGAGATAGGTGTCTATACAAATAGCTAATTTATACAAAAACACAGAATTTGACCAAAGCTTAACAACAATAACCAAAAAAAGATACTGAGAGCACAGTAACAAGGGGAAGGACAAGTCTACTTGAGAATTTGAGTCAAATTGAGCAAGGCCTGGAGAAAAAGCCAGGAAGAGCCTCACTGTAGAAGGCTGTGAACAAGGGCTTAGAGAAAAGAGACTTGAAGCCTTAAGAAGGGTGGGTGAGAAGTAGTAGGGACAAGGGGCATGAGGAAGGGCAGTGTCTAAATCTGGGTCTTGCTCCTAGACTTTCCAGAAGGCCCAAGAGCTCCTATGATGAGGTTAATGTAGCCAAAGTGATAGGAAGGTTGGGCACAGATGCTGGGTCAGGTAGGAGCTCTTGAGGGAAATCTGGAGGGCGGTCTCAGCCCTAGACTCACCACCTGGGGAGCTGTCTCTGGAGGACCAGGTCTGCTGTGGGATAGGTGGCTTCCTGCCTGGATAGCCAAGTCAGGGGCTGGATTAGGAGACTGATAGGAAGGCAATCTGGCCGACGTGAGAAAGTAGAAGAAAGAGAGTAAAGTGGTTAGGTGTACAGTACTGGAACCCAACCTCTGAGTTTATGTCCCAGATCTCCACCTTCTATCTTCTTAATCCTGATTCAAAACTTAAACTCTCTGTTCCTCAGATTCCTCATTCATAAAATATGGACAATAAAATCACCTACCTCATAGAGCTGCAGTGAGCAGCAGGAAAGGAGCTGACAAATAGAAACTGCTAGCACAGGGTTAGCACCCATCAGTGTTATCTGGGAGTATTCTCTAGGCATTTGACCAGAGGGTCCTTCCATTTCTCTATCCCCACTAATTTTTTCAAAAATCCATTTCATTGTCATCAAGGGCCAATTCATTCAGCTGGTCAAAATGTGGACTACTGAGGCCAGTGGATTGAGGCTTAGTCTCCCTATGGATCCATTAATGCTTCTTGGTTCCACATCAAAGATGGAGCCTGCTTCCAGCACAGTCCCCAGCCTGGGGGCCCAGCCATATTTTGAGATGGTCATGGGAGGGCCTATGGGAAAGCAGGGGTGGGCCAAGGACCCCTCCCCCATTGAACAGTGTGGACCCCACCACTCTCATCCTTTAATTTTCTAAAATAAGGAGAGAGACGAAATAGTTTCAATCACAGGCTTCAATTTCTCTTTTTCTCACTCCTACTTCCCATATCCTCCAGCCCCTCCCACAAAGCTAACACCCCAAAGAAGCGTCTTGGCATTCCTGCTGCTCTGGAGAAAGGCTCAACCTCTGATAACCAAGGGACATAAGGCTCTAAAAGGCAGTAGAACCACCAGGGAGCCCAGGAGCTCCAAGGCAAAGGTGCTGGCAGCAGGCACCCAGCAGCCTATATATGGAGCTGCCAGGAAAGCAACTTGTTTCCAGGGTGAGCCAGCACAGCCTTTCAGGAAACTCGGAACCTAGCAACTCAGAACCTAGCAACGTAATTGAAGCCTGCCACGCTCACCTCTCAGCCCTCCACCTCCAGCCCAGCTCCTGCTCTGCGCGGAGCTGCTTTGGAGAACTTGCTGCTGGCGCCCAACAGCTGGGTAAATTCTGCTTACAGTGGTTCCCAAAGAGGCCTGGAGGACATCTGGGTCTTCCATGGTGGTGGGGGTTTTGGCCTCAACAACAAGGCTCTGGTGGTAGAAATGATAGCAACCCAGTGAAAAGAGACGGACAAAAGAGTCAAAGGAGTCAGTGCAAAAGCACTGTCCAGGAAAGCGAATCAACCCAGATTGTCCCCTTGGGAAATATGGCATGTGCTTGGGGTGACAGCTGATTCTCCTCTTAATCACTGTCATGAAAACAAAATAACCATAAGAGCAAAGGCAGATTAGACAAGGGAAATTAAGGAACCCAAATACTGACAGGATGCATTTTTGAAGATATAGCCGACTCCTGGGTCCTCGTGACAGCCTTCCCACACCAATTCTCAGACCACCTTCTACCTGAACCTGCACGGTGGCAAAATGGCCTCCACAAGAAGCAACCCAATGGGGCTCTGTTCTCTCCTTGCCAAGACCAGGAATATAACGCAGTTGTGATGGCCACAGGACTAGGAAAGACCATGGATATAGGCAGCAAAGTCTAAGGAGATTTTCTTAGACGGAAGTCTGAAACTAGCATGGAGAAGAAATGGTTAAGGAGAGAGAGAGAAAGAGAGCGAGCAAGAGAGAGCAGAGATGGGACCTCCAAAGGCAGGATGTAGCAAGGTTACCAGCAGCAGCCCTGTAAGGTAAGTCCGGTTCCACAGGGCCTTTCAAGAAGGATTCCTCATGTCTAGGTCTAGAAATGACTTCTAACTGACTTCTGGTCATTTTTCCTTATTTTAACAAAGATCTATTTAACTTAATAGGCTTTTGTCTCAATGCTATTTGAACATACTTTGTTGACTCAATAAGGGCTGTTTTAACCATTCTTCTTATACTATCCTTACCCCATTTCATTGCTTCTCTTCCTAATTTTCAGGCTTCCAGTTCTACCTTCTTTCTATTATTTTCCCTTACCTTTCCATCCTATGTATTAAACTTTATTCTTTTTAAAACTATTCACTTCTATGTTTTAGCCTTTTTATTTAAGAAAAATTTAACCTTAAAAAATCTTCCTTCACTTATATTTTCTTGTATATTCCTTTAAAATGTTTAGATATTTACAGATTTAATGCTGTATTAAATTAAATACTTGTATATTCCTTTAAAATATTATTTTGAGGCCGGGCACGGTGGCTCATGCCTGTAATCCCAGCACTTTGGGAGGCTGAGGCGGGCGGATCACAAGGTCAGGAGATCAAGACCATCCCAGCTAACACGGTGAAACCCCGTCTCTACTAAAAATACAAAAAAATAGCCGGGCGTGGTGGCAGGCGCCTGTAGTCCCAGCTACTCGGGAGGCTGAGGCAGGAGAACGGCATGAACTCGAGGGGCGGAGCTTGCAGTGAGCCGAGACTGCGCCACTGCACTCCAGCCTGGGTGAAAGAGTGAGACTCTGTCTCAAAAAAAATAAATAAATAAAAATAAAATAAAATATTATTTCAATATTTACAGATTTAGTATTTTCTACTGTATTTAGTGTTAGTTCAACCTTTTATGCTTAAATTGTTGAGGACTTTAAATCCTTGTTATTAACTGTATCAGTCATGATTCAGAGCAGGCATGTGGCAGATACTTCCTAAAAATGGCTGCAATATTTCCATCCCACATGCTCTTCCAGAATTTTGTCACTCCTCCATCAACAGGTGGAGTCTAAGTCCTCTCCCTTGAACCTAGATGAGTCTATATAACTGCCTTGACTACTAGAGTATGGCAGAAGGGATGCTATGGAACTTCTGAAGCTAAGTAATAAAGGTGATCCCTCTCCCTCTCTCTTTTGGTCTTTCTCTCTGTCTCAAAAATCTCTCCCTTGGAACCCAGCAACTCTGTTGTGAGGAAGCCCAGGTCACCTGGAAAAGTCCATGTGGACAGGAACCCAGGAAACTCAGCTGACAGCCAGCACCAGCTGGCCCACTTGTATGCATGGACCCTCTTGGAAGTAGATCCTTCAGCCTTCAGTAGAACCCCTCCAACTCATTCGATGTGGTACAAAGATGAACCTTCCCTGCCGAGCCCTGCCCGAATTGCAGGTTTGTGGGCAAAATAAATTATTGTTGTTGTTTTAAGCTACTAAATTCTGGATGGTTTGTTAGACAGCAATAAGATAACTGAAACTAGGAAACAGAAACTATAGGTTTTAAAAAGGAAGAGGTTTACTAGAAGATACCAAATACTTACAAATTATTTGAAAGGGCTGGAATGAATCTCAGAACATAAAATTACTAAACTCAAAAATATGCTATAGTACAGGGACCAGGAAGTCCCTGCTGGCCAACACACTCACTTTTCAACACCTAAAAAACCAGGGAGTGGGCACTGGAGCACTGCTCATGTCCCTTGATATGGCTCGACAGCACAAAAACCACCCAAAGAGACAGGGAAATGACTCTGCCCCGTGCCCACCTTCTAAGTCTCACACAAGGCATATGTTTGGTATTACTTAATTTGCATTCAAATTCTAGCTGTAAAGGAATCTGAGAACTGTAGTTTTCAACTTTCCAGCCTCTGCAGTACAAGGAGGCCCTCAGAAGCAAGGAGAAATAGAGATTAAGCAAATCAGTCCAAAATATCCACGTCTACCTTCTGCCCAATTGATTATACCAACTACCATATTTTCTTTTTTTTTTTTTTTTTTTTTGAGACGGAGTCTCGTTCTGTCGCCCAGGATGGAGGGCAGTGGCCAGATCTCGGCTCACTGCAAGCTCCGCCTCCCGGGTTCACGCCATTCTCCTGCCTCAGCCTCCCGAGTAGCTGGGACTACAGGTGCCCGCCACCTCGCCCGGCTAGTTTTTTGTATTTTTTTTAGTAGAGATGGGGTTTCACCGTGTTAGCCAGGATGGTCTCGATCTCCTGACCTCATGATCCACCCGTCTCAGCCTCCCAAAGTGCTGGGATTACAGGCTTGAGCCACTGCGCCCAGCATCAACTACCATATTTTCAAACTGTTTTTATTTCATTTCCCCTTTTCCATATTTATTACTTGATTTTTCATGATTTTTTTTATACTGGCTAGCAGAATTAGTGGGTGTAATGATGATAGCACTGAGGAGATCACTCTACAAGCAAGGAAGTTTAAAACCTCTGTCTCCAGATGCACCCATGGCACTCATCTGGTCTCGCCTAATAGATACTTAGTCCTTGAGGTTGGCTCCTCAGTTGTGCCTAGCATACTCTCTTCCCTCAGTCTCACTCTACAAAGGTTACCAGGTTATTAGCGTGAAATGTATCCATCCAGCTCATTTTCTATGAATTAACATTTTTATACTCACTATTGAATTTAATAGACCAAAAATATATACTGTTCTGCAATTCATTTTTTTATGTTACAATATATCAAAACAACTTTCTAACAGTATATATGGATCTAATTTCAAACAGCTACAGTTTTTTTAATCACATGAATTACTATAATTATTTAATTAATCCCCTCTTGATGGATACATAGCCATTCTTTTCCAATATGGCTTCTGAGTTTTAGTTCATTCTTGCAAAGACCTTCTTCATCCCAAGATTATAAAAATTACCTGATACATTTTTTGGTTATTTTATAGTTTGAGGTTTATTATTGTATTTTTATATATCTGGAATTTACTTTTGAGTGTTGTGTAAAATATATATTCTACTTTTTCCTCCAGAGGTCTGCCCAGTTCTCTTAATACTATTTATTCAATAATCAAATGTTTGAGTTACTGTGAACAGGTACTTTTATCATATTCTAAATTCCATATCCATGTGGGTTGGTTTCTCAGCTCTGTTCCACCGGTTCATTTGGGTATCCCTTGCACTAGCACTACATTATGTTAATAGGTTTTGATATTTGATAGAGCTTTAGACATCATTTTCAAAATTCTCTTATTTTTTCCTATTCTTCCGAACATGTTTTAGAACTAATTTGTCAAATTGCACCCCGTTCCACAAAAAAAAACACAGATGTTATTGGCCTCTTTACAGAAATTGCATGAAACTTACAGATTGATTTGGGGAACTGACTGTGGCAGCTATGGAGGTGTAGCCACTTGAGTCTCCCTTCAACAAAGGATTTGCCATTCAGCTGCAAGCAGTGCAGCTATCCATGAGCCTACAGCTGTTAGCACCTTTCAGGTTCACCTCAGTTTTCAGGCCAAGACCATGCTCTTTCCAACTAGGCCCCTCACCAATGACTGAGAGCAAAGAGGGCATAGGGACTGGCCTCTTCTTCCCAGTGCAGGATTCTTCTAATGGGTATTTGTTCTGGAACTCGCCACTAGGTTGGCTGAGACCGTCAGATGCTCATTGCAGTATGAGGCTCTTCTATCCAATCTTGCCTTTATCTCTCACATGTGTTACTCCCAAATAAACTCCCTGTAGCCTTCCCTCTCAATGTCTGCTTCACAGAGAACCCACCAACACCGACAATGACATATTCATAACATTGAGTCTTCCCATCCGATAAGACATATCTCCCCACTTAGTCTATTGTTCAATGCCCTTCAGAAAAAATTTCATCATTTTCTTCATATTCATCTTTCACATTCTTAAGTTTATGACTAGTAACTACTCAATTTTTTAAAGTTTTTTTTTGCTGAAGTAAATGACGTCTTTAAAGTGTGATAAAATATATCAATCACACTTTAAATCGATATATTTTAAAGGTATGTAGTAGGTCATAAGGGTTTATAACTGTTATATCATTGCCTCGTCATTCATTTATAAGTTGTCTTCCTTTTGACCTCCTAAAAGCACACATAGAATTAAGCAACAACAATCTACTTCCATCAGTAAGGGAATGCATAAACAAATTGGTATATTTAAACAATGGAAAGTTAGTGACTGAGAAAAAAGGATTGATACATACAAAACATATATTGATACTGATGCATGAAAAAAATGGAGTGGATAAATCTTACAGAGATTATGTTGAGCAAAAGAAGCCAGACACAAAACAGTACATACTGAATTATTCCATGTATATGAAGTTCAAGAGTAGGCAAAACTAATCTATAGTGATATAACTGAGAAATATGGTTACCCAAAAGAGGGGGTATCTACTGACTGGAAAAAGGTACAAGGGAACTTTTTGGAGGATGTAAATGTTCTATATATTGATTTATGTTAAAAAATCAGGCCGGGCGCGGTGGCTCAAGCCTGTAATCCCAGCACTTTGGGAGGCTGAGACGGGTGGATCACGAGGTCAGGAGATCGAGACCATCCTGGCTAACACGGTGAAACCCCGTCTCTACTAAAAAAATACAAAAACTAGCCGGGCGAGGTGGCGGGCGCCTGTAGTCCCAGCTACTCGGGAGGCTGAGGCAGGAGAATGGCGTGAACCCGGGAGGCGGAGCTTGCAGTGAGCTGAGATCCGGCCACTGAACTCCAGCCTGGGCGACAGAGCAAGACTCCGTCTCAAAAAAAAAAAAAAAAAAAAAAAAAAAAAAAAAAAATCATCAAATGGTAGATACACTTAAGATTTGCTCATTTTACTGTATGTAAATTAAAGCTCCACAAATAAAACATAGTGGGTCAGAGGAAGACTCTTTCTCCTACTGATTCTCCACCTAAATAAATGACCACTGGCCAGGCACGGTGGCTCATGCCTGCAATTTCAGCACTTTGGGAGGCTGAAACAGGATAATTGCTTGAGCCCAGGAGTTCAAGACCAGCCTGGGCAACATAGTGAGACCCCACCTCTAAAAAAAAGAAATTTAAATTAGTGGGGTGTGGTGGTGTGTGCCTGTGGTCCCAGCTACTTGGGAGGCTGAGGTGGGAGGATTGCCTAAGCTGGGGAAAGTTGAGTTGAGCCATGATCGTGCCACTGCACTCCAGTCTGGGCAACAGAGCATGAGAGCCTGTCTTGAAAAAAAAAAAAAAAAAAAAAAAGACGACTAACCCATGGTCAAAACCGAACCCAAGAGTCAACCTTGACGCCTTTCTCTCTCTTCTGCCCCATGGGTAGCTATTCACCCTTGTGTGTGTGTTATAAAAGAGCTCCTAAATGGCTGCTGACTGAAAGCTTCTCCTTTCCTATTGCCACCCACTGTTCAGGTCTGAGGGCCCACTGTCAGGTGACTTGCCACAATGGCCTCCTAACTGATCCACCCTCCAGGTCACCTTCCACGCTGTATTAGAGCATGGAAGGTGGTCTTAGAACGCTGGTCATTCTAAGATAAAAATCGCATTGCCTATACAGCTTAAATCTCTTCAATAGCATTGTATTACCCTAGGGATAAAGTCCAGATGCCTATGCATGGAAGCTTGTGATCAGATAGGTGGGGGGGGGAAAAAAACAAGTCCAAATGCCTAAACCTGCTTAAAATGTCTTCCGGGATCCTAAGCTCACCAGTTTCTCCAGCCTGACCCTGCTTGCCCTTTCCCTCCTTACGCTCCAGCCGTCATGGGCTTCCGCCAGTTCCCTGAATCCTTTTCTCCTCCCTTGTCTTTTTTCTCTCACTTTCTGGCTTTTGTATATGCTGTCTCTTTTGCCTAGAACATTCTCCCCACTCAACATTTCCCTTTTTCTGGCTAACTTTTACTTAACCTTCTAGTCTCTATTCAAATGTCACTTCCTTGGGGAGGCCTTCCCTGAATATCTTGATGAGCTAACGACCTCCTGCTTCATTCTATGATCTCAAACCATCTGGTCCTTCTCCCACTGGCACATGCATCACACCTTTCTGTAATACGTAGTTGAATTGGCTGATGTATTAAGTCCTCAACAAATATTTAGATGAATGAATGATGAATGAATGAGAGCAAGGATTGGAAGAAAACAACTAGTCATGAAATTCATGTCATAGTGACCAATGCCACCCCCATATGCATAGATGCCCAGAAAACACAGGGCATACATTTGGGGTACGAAGAATTACTCACCATTTCTCAACTGGACATATTGTTTCTAACATCACTGTTTTTTTTTTTTTTTTTAGCAAGTGCCTGTGCTTCAACCACCACTTAATTTGTTAATTCTGACTCTTAATCCTGAGACTGTAGGTAGAGAAGATAACATACTCCTATTTCACAGGTGAGAATACACAAGCACAGAAAGTATTTGTAATTTGTTCAAGGTCACAGAACAAGCAAGTGGCAGAACTGGGTCACAATCAGTTCCTCTGACTCCCTGGCTTGAGGTTTTACTCTATTGTCAGATTCTCTATGTCTCCTGCAGGCCATGTATCCTTACCAAATGTAGGGATCACTGGTTTGGCCTTTGTGAGAGCAGGTGCTTAGAAATCCTGTTGAACTTTCTTCCTTCGCTACCTACCCTGTACCAGAAACCCGCTGCACAACATTGATAAAACCAGTTCTGTTCTAGGCCCCCACTTGCTGCTGCCTGGAGAGGTGACCCCCAGGGCATCCCCCCTTCATGCCTTGACTGAATAAAACTCCCTGCTGAAGTCTTCACATGGCACACCGCATGAACATGTGGAACCCACTGGTTGCCAAGCCAAATGTGGCTCCAGATTATTCTAGGAAACAAATAAATTGTTTTGCTCTGGATTGAAGGAATTGCTAATTAGGGATTTTTATTTTGAGCAGTGTTCCTTGGAGCTGGCAGACAGATGGAGTAGGCGAATTGCTCCAGGGGCATTGTTAAGCAGAGGGAACTGTTTCTGCCCCTGGTTATGAGAACCTGCCAGAGCTCATTGCTGCCCAGCTCTTGCCCTCAAGGACAAGGGAGGCTTCCTGGCTCACAGTGATTTCCTCTTTTCTGGGACTGGCCCTCAAAGCACAAGCACAAGACCCTAGTGGTGTTGTCAGTTGTATATTACCCTGCCTGCTAGCCATATAATTGTCCTAGGGAGAAGAGCAGAGGTCTTTTCTAGGATTCCCTACCTGGAACTGGGAATGAAAATCCATTTATCACAGCACCTGATGTGTAGAACACACAATCTGCCAATGGCCAGGTTTTCAGTTATCAGTGAGGAAAAAAAAAAAAAAAAGGAGCTGGGAGCATTCTGAGAACTCTTAGCCTCTGACACCCAGCTTCTGACACCCAGTGTGTCCCTGATGCCCTTTTAGGTTGGTTGTTTGACACTTTTTTGGATTCTCCATTCCCTTGGATATGCTGATAAGTTTCTTCTTTCCTCCCCTCTTCCTTCCTTTCTTTCCTTCCTTCCTTCCTTCCTTTCCTTCCTTCCCTTCCCTTCCTTCCTTCCTTCCTTCCTTCCTTCCCTTCCTTCCCTTCCTTCCCTTCCCTTCCTTCCCTTCCCTTCCTTCCTTTCCTTTCCTTCCCTTCCTTCCTTCCTTTCTTCCTTTTCTTTCTTTCTTCCTTTCTCTCTCTCTCTCTCTCTCTCTCTCTCTTTCTTTCTTTCTTTCATCGTTCTTCAATAAGCTAATTGAGGTTGCATTTCTGTGATTTGCAACCAGAAGCCCAGCCTGATGATGATGGACAGGATTCAAGGACACACAGAGGACCCAGGCTATGGCTCAATGGACCTAGCTGTGGATAAATTGCCTGGGCATTTCGGAGTTATATTGTCCAATCTCAGTACAGTGACCAGTCTACCTCAAAGAGGTTTAAAGAAAACTATGGCAAGATGGGAGAGGAGAGACAGTGAAAAGACAGTGAGATGAGCTCGGATAAGTGAAAACAGGAGGCCAGAGAGAGAAACATGCCAGACAGATAGGTTAAAAAGGCTCGTTTCTGATTCCAGTTCTATTCTAGAGCTATAGGTCTCTCAGTCTGCTCACTAAGCCTCCTTTTTATCTTCTTAACACATGAATTGAAAATTAGTGCTCTGAACACCATTATTTAATCAAATAAAAATATTCAGCAAGATCCAAGTCCATTATTGCTCACAAAGGGAGAACGAGGCTTAGATCCAAACGACTGATGGGAGGCCAATTCCAAATCACAGGGCAGTAGCAGTGTGAAGTCATTGTAACCGTCCGCCTACCTCTGACCCTCCCAGAACCCACCCTAGTCACACCTCTTCTGTGATCATCTACCCCTCAGCTCTGTCCAGTGTTGCCAAAGGAGGACTGTAGAATGGAAGACAAGAGAAAGAATAACCTCCCTCTCTCCTGTAGGAGAACAGTTTAGAAGCCAAGCCACCTTGGAAGAATCCACTTTTCCTAATGGCATGCAGCCACCTTGTTCTCCTCGCCACCTCTCTCCATGATCCAAAATTGAAAGAACAGGCCAGGTGTGCCGGTTCACACCTGTAATCCCAGCACTTTGGGAGTTCATGGTGGGAGAATCACCTGAGCCCAGGAGTTAGAAACCAGCCTGGGCAACAGAGCAAGACCCCATCTCTACAAAAAAATGAAAAAATAAAAATAGAAAGAATTCAAAATAGAAAGAACAAAAGTAAGGAGGGTACAGAAGCCCCCACACCCAGTGTCCCCACCAGTCCTCCCAGTCTATGCCAGAGCAGAGCAGCCTCACTTTCAGTGCCCACTACAGGGATGTAAGGAGCATAAGGAAGGTTTTTCCACTCAAAAAGTCTTTGGGTGAAGAGGCCAAGGAGGGCGGATCACTCAGGTCAGGAGTTTAAGACCAGCCTGACCAACATGGAGAAACCCCGTCTCTACTAAAAATACAAAATTAGCAGGGCATGGTGGTGCATACCTGTAATCCCAGCTATTTGGGAGGCTGAGGCAGAAGAATCGCTTGAATCCGGGAGGTGGAGGTTGCAGTGAGCCAAGATCGCACCATTGCACTCCAGCCTGGGCAACAAAAGTGAAACTGTGTCTCAAAAAAAATAAAAAAGTATTTGGGTGAGGTATTAAGCCTATATATCATGGAAAAGGAAATACTAAGGCCCCGTGAAAAGATTCTCATCCTTACTGATAATTTTTACAACAAAAATTAAAATATCACTGGGATGCCTCTTTCTGTTTACCAGTTGGTCCTCATATACTGCTAGTTGGCCCAGAGATTAGAACAATCTTTTTAGAGAAATATTTAACAATATATATAATTTTAAGTGTTTGTACCTTTGTCCTAAAAAAATTCACTTTCTTTAAGGACTATACTACTCTTCCCTGTATCATTCCAATTTTAGTATATGTGCTGCTGAAGTGAGCCTGAAATTTCACTTTTTGTAACCTAGCCTATGGCTATAGTATGAGTTCAAATCCCTTGCATCATCACTAACCTGGTAAGCTTGGACAAATTTCTTAGTGTTCCATGCTCAATTTCTCCATCTGTAAAATAGAAATAATAATGACACTAATCAGGTTGTGGTGAGGATTAAATGATAAGTATATGTAAAGCTCTCAATACCTGTCAGATAGTGCCTATAGTAAATAACACGCAATTGTTAGCTAGAATACTGTAATATTATTACCCTATCAATGTACCACATATACATAAAAGGCTATATATAGCCAGATTCTTTATAATAGTGAAAGACAGGAAACAAGGTAAAACATTATATTCATCTACACAATGAAATACTGTGGTGAAATTGTTACCAACACTATAGATCAACACTATAGATGGGTATCATTATGGAAAAAATAAAAAAAAAACAAGGTACAGTGTTAAGTTAGTTACAAGACTATGTATAGTATGAAAATGATGTAAATAAGAATGATGATAATGTGATTGTTGACTAAATGGATGTTGACTAAATGGATGTTGCATGAATATGCATGAAAAAAATCTATAGGAATTGACCTAAAACGTGTTCATGTGTGTGTGTGTACAGGATAGTGAAAGATACCCTGTTCTTTGCATTCTAATTTTTAACATTTGTCTTTTTTCAATAAGCCTGTTACTTTCATGGGCACTAAAAATAATAGCCATACTCATAATCATAATAATGACCCAAACCACAAACAAATGATGGGCCATAAGCAGGGAAGAGAAAAGAGACAGAGAAGGACCCTGACAGTCAGCCTCTTGCCTCAGGGGCAGATGATCACACTACTTCTGCCCTACTGGCTGTGGAAGCCCGGGGGCACTGCTGAGGTCTTGGAAATGGAGTTGGGCACTGCAGACGCTGCGACTGGATGCAGCCTTCATTTCTGCTGTGGCTTCATTGGCCATGTTTTTTGTTAATCTGATGGCTGACCCTGCCTCTGTCCCTGCTTTTAAATAAATCCTTTAGGAAGAGGAAAAAAATAGGGAGTGGAGGGAGGGGGCAGGAGAGAAGAAGAGAGGAGAGGTAAGGAAGAGAGAAGAAAGGAGAAGCAGAGAGGAAAGAGGAGTGAGAGATGCAGTGCCCCTGCATCTCCATGGCCCCAGGAAGTGGGACATGCAACTGTTCCTCAGCTCTCATTGTCAGGAGTCGCCATGGAGACCGAGTGCTGGCCTCTTCATGATTAATACTCCCAGGCAGCTGTCTTCTTGAAGTTTTTTAAAATATATACACTATTATTTGAACACAATGATATTTAGAGCAGAAAGATCAAGGTAGGGTGTGGAGGAGGGAGCAGTAGCATAACCAGAACTATGACAGGGGCTGAGCCCTCCCCAGAAGAGAGAGCAGGGAGGCTGCCTCTACCCTCCCTCTGCCCCTCCCCACCTCCTTCCCTGGATTCAAAGCTTCCAGTCTCATGCACTTCGGCACCAGCATCTGAAGGGCCAACCCAGCACCTGGCACTGGGCTGTGCTCAATGAATATTTGATGAATGAATTTCTTCATTCATTAATTCATTCAGCAAATGTTTGTTCAGTGCTTGCCTAGAAGGTGAATTCTCCTTTGCACCTTTTCCCATGGAAATAGAAAATTCGCTCTCACTTTCCCCAAGAGCACACATACAAACACACACACAGAGACACACACACACACACACACACACACACACACACCCCAGCAACTTACACAGCAGCTCCAAAGAACCTTATATGTGCTACTCCTCAGTACTAGTTGTGACCCACTGTTTTCCTATCCATGGCCATCACTCCAGGGAGTTCTTGCAGGAATGGGCACTAGCCAGCTTGAGTTTGCACATCACATCCTATTTGAAAGCTACAGGGAGATCCTCCATCTAAAGCCATCTAACAGTGAATCCTTTTGTAAAATTAATCATCTTCTCCTAAATTGTCTTGTAGAGTAAGATAGCCTGGACTTGACTCTCAGCCCTACCACTGAATAGAAGTGTGGTGTCGATCAAGTCATCTGACGTTTTTGAGTCTGCTTCCTCATCTGTGAAATTGGTCTCCAATTCCTTACTCCACAGAACTTTTGTGGAGACTGAATGATAAAATATTTGTAAGGTGCTCAATGTATGTGATTTCCCTTTTTTCCCTTGTGTACATTTGTGTTTTTATATTTGAAGTGTGATTAAAATGGAGCTCATAAATCTAAGCTCCTCTCTCTTCCTTCCCTTCCCAAAGACCTTTTGGGCCCAGAATCTCTTTGTAAGCTGTTAAAATGTAGGGAGAAGAAGGGACGAGCTGGGAAGAACTACAAAATGCTCAGCCTCCTTTATATTCCCTCCCAGTCCTCAAGGAGCCAAATGCAGATGCAAATTGCCCTCCAGAGGCAGCCATCCTCTGTGCCTGTGAGTGTGTGTATGTGTGTCCACTGGAGGTGAGTAGCATAGACATGGGGGTGTGAGCCATCCCACACCCAGAGCACAAGCTGTCTCTTCCCTATCTCTTTTCCTAATCACTCCTACCCACCCCCGAGCCCTGCCTCCAGGTCTGGCCTCTAACACAAGAAACTTAGGGTGACTTGGACCCTTGTCCTAACACAGACCTAGTCCAACAGCCCTTGGCAGAGAGCAGCAATGGCTTGGCAACTCACCAAGAGAGTAGGGGAATTATCTGTGACTAAGAAGGAGGAGGAATGCTGTGGCAGAGGGAAGAACAGCAGAAGGGATGGGCAACCTGGGGCCGACCAATCTGGCCCGACGGGGTGACCTGGGGAGACCTGGACACCAGCCCAGCCAAACTC